TCACATCTTTTTCCCTGATCTGTCCCCAAATTCCTTGAATTCACTAACAACAGATGACATGGTATGGTGTTCTAGAAGGCACCAGAGGTATAGCATAAAACAAAAAACGTTTATATGTCAAAAAAAGTTTGCAAAATGCAATACACCACTATAATAAATATTAATTTATCAAAGGTTCTGGAAAATATTATAGCTAAGAAACATATTTTTTTAATCCAAGCATTTCTCAAAATTCTCTTAGCACAGAATACTATGTATATTATTTTTCTGATTGCTGATTTCATAGAATAGAAAAATGAAATATTGAAATGTTATTTGCCCATTGTTTTTAATAATAGTGCCAAGAATAAATCTAAAATCTCAAGATGTAGTGAAATAAGCCCCTCTTCCATATCCTGCCATCTCTCCAAACACTGAATAATTTATCTTTTATGGACCTCAACTTTCCCTTATGAATAACTGTCAGTCATACAATTAGGGAATCTGATAAAAATGCAAGAGTTTATACACAATGATTTTTTTTAATCCTTACCTGAGAATATTTTTTCATTGAGTTTCAGAGAGAGTGAAAGAGAGAGGGAAAGACAAAGAATCATCGATGAGAGAGAAATACATCGATTGGTTGCCTCCGGCATGTGCCCGGGCCAGGGCCCAAGCCCAGACTGCGGAGGAGTCTGCAACCAAGGTACGTGCCCTTTACCGGAATCGAACCAGGGACCCTTTGGTCCACAGGCCAACGTTCTATCCACTGAGCCAAACTGGCTAAGGCCACAATTATTTTTACTGATAAAGTTTCTTAAAGAGAAAAAGCTGAAGTTTTTCAACCACCCAGATCATGTGTTTTCTTCCTCCTTTCCCATCACCACTGCTATATGTATATTTTTCCTACCACATTGAATAAAAACAGATAAGGGAACAGAGCCTTGGCTGGGTGGCTCAGTTGGTTGGAGTGTCGTCCAGTACATTCAGGCTAATATATTCACCTTATATTTAATTTTTACTTTTTTTCTCTAAAGAACACTTTTTCCCCTAAAAAATCTTTTTTCTTCCTTCATGATGTTATATAATATGTCGGTGCCCCCTTTTTAGATTGATTCCCAAGTACTTTATTTTCTCTGATAATATTTTTATCATGTTTCCTCTTATATCTATATTCATGTGATTGCTCACATATGACTAAGACAATACAATTTATATTCTATAAAGAGAATATATATATACACACACACACACACACACACACATATGTTTGTACAATTCTAATATTGTTATCCTCACAGCAACTTGACCCCCATATTGGCAGTGCCCACTGTAGTTAGCCATCAGATTACCTGAATTAACAGGCTTATCTTCTCTATTATATTTGTAAATATTTATAAAATTTCCTAACCTTACTGTCAGACTATAAGAGAACTCCATGTTATAAATTAGGTCTTGAAACTGTTAGAAGCACTCTGATTTTATTTCTGCTGAAGAGACAAAAAACTAAGCTGCTATTTTAAAATATTGTAAATCAGGAAAGTAATTTTTAAACTTGCTAAGTTTTAATTTAATTATATCTGCAATGACTCTTAGCAAGTACAACTCATATACTTTTGTTAATCTCTTACAGTGTACATGCATTTCAGTTTCTCTTAACTATTTAAACATATTTCACAGTATTCATGGGCACTGAGGTTTAGATTTTAGAAGGGCAATAAAGCAATTAGACAGTACCAGCATCCTTATATTTACATCGAAAGGCAGAAAACCCAACAGGAAACCTACTGCTTTAAATTGACTGGAATTTTTGTGATATCTGAGGATTTGTTTCAACATGGTTACTTTACAAGCAAGTTCCATAGATTTCTAGATGATAACATAGTCAAGATTTATGACAAAGTGCCAAAACAAAAGTATTTTAAGACCTAAGTAGTTTGCTTCCGTTTCTGTTACCTCATCCTTGTTAATTCATTCATTATTAATCCAACACAACAGAATGCTTCTTTATGAAGCATTAGAACTCTAATCATTGTTTGTAAAAATGTGCCCAGCCTCATTTTTTTCACTGTGTATTCTACAAACATATCTAAATTACATTTTCCTTGATCATTTGAAAAAGTTAGTTTATTAATTTATATTTCCTTTTTTTCTTTCTCTTGGTGCTTCAAAAGCCCCTGCCATGAATCTCTTTCAAAAAGTGGTCTCCAGCCCAGTCAGTTTGGTTCAGTGGTTGAACATCAACCTATGAACAAGGAGGTCACAGTTGAATCCCGGGCTGTGGACTCGATCTCCCATAGGGAGGTGTCTGAGGCATCCGATCAATGATTCTCTCTCATCATTGATGTTTCTCTCTCTCCCTCTCCCTTCCTCTCTGAATTCAATTTAAAATATATATATATTTTAAAGTGGTCTCCATCTATGTTAGTCATAGATTTTTAGAGAGATGGTAAAAGTTTCCTTACAAGTCATGTAAACAACTCCCTTGTTTTAAGAGAACAGAGCCCTGGCTGGGTGGCTCAGTTGGTTGAGTGTCATCCAGTACACCAAAAAGGTTGCGGGTTCCATTCCCCATCAGGGTACATAATAGGTTGCGGGTTCAATCACCAGTCAGGGCGCATACGGGTGGCAACCAATTGATGTTTTTCTCTGACATCAATGTTTATATCTCTATCCCTTCCTCTCTCTCTAAAAATCAGTAAAAACATATCCTTGGGTGAGGATTATAAAAAAAATGGAACTGGAAGTCAAAACCTGTCACCTGATCCACAATCTCTAATTCTTTTCCCAATAGAAGTTTCCTAAAGACACATGAAATATCTCTGATTACTGAATTAATATATTGTCAATGTTTCCTTTTATAGATCATTCACGAGAAGTCTTGGAGCAATTAGTAGGCCCAAACAAATTAAAGCAAGTGACATGGACTGCTTATTGATGCTTAGCCAAGTTATGCTCTTCATACTGTCAGGAAATGATGGTCTTGGAGATTGGCTTTCCAACATGTAATATGGTTTGTGACTTACCAGACTCTTAAATGCTTTAATAGTGCTGTTATTCTGTGTTTGTTTAATGAGTCCTTGTTTTAGAATTTTAATCCTAGCATGCCCCTCTGATAGATTTGGGGGTAGGGGGAGAAGGCACTGTTTTTGTTTCTTAATAACGAAGATTTTAAATTACCTGTCTTCCCTGGAGATTTCCTTTTCCTACCTAAATATTTGAGCTGTTGTAAAGGAAATGTACCAATGTGGATAAATTTTAAGTAAAGGTATTTCTAAAAGTATAACTACCTTTTTAGCTATTTTCTGGCTCCTACCTTCCTGAAGTATTTAAATGCCCATTGGCCAAAAGCTAAGCTGAATACTAGCCTATAAATTCTGTATAGAATTTAATATTTCAGTGAAACAAAGAAACATAACAGTTAATGTCATAATCCATGATGTCATACACCTTAGCCATTCAGCATATGAATGTTACTGAGGCCCTTGCCCAGTCACTTATTTCATTGATTTTTATGGCTATTTTTCTCTGAAAATAGTTCCCAGACCCAATTCCAACATGGGGTGGGGGATAGAATCAGATTCTATTCTGTTCTGGAGGTAGAAACAGATTCTACAGGTTAAGGGTCCAGTCCTACAAGACTGCTCCCCTTCTGTCCCTGCCCACCCAACACACTTCAGACACCAGTTGCAAGTCCAGGTTGTTACTTGTGCGTCTGATCAATTGGCTACAAATTGGAGGTACCAAGGATCCCTTCCTTGAGTTAGATTAGTTTCCTAGAAGGACTCACAGAACTCAGGAAAACCTGTTAACTCACTAAATTACCAGTTTGTTATAAATACTATTAAAGGATAAAAATGAACATCCTGATGAAGAGATACGCAGAGAGGTCACAAAAAAGGAGCCTTCTATCCTCACAGAGCTAGGGCCCAGAGCGGTGGCAGGTGGAAGGCTTCTGGAAGCTCTCCACACCCCCTCCCTGTGGGTTTTTATGGAGGCCTCATTATGTAGGCAGGGTTGATTGTTCAAGTGGTTGTCCCTCTCACCTCCCCAGAAAATAGGGGTGGGACTGAAAATTCCAACCTTGTATTCATGGTTGGTTCGGGACAATCAGCCCCCATTCTTAGGTGCTTTGCAAAACATCACATGAATAACAAGACACCTTTTCACCTTTATGGCTCTGGGTTCAGGAACTGAGAACAAGAGACCACATTTATAATAAAAGATGCTTATTGTTTAGGAAATTCCAAAAGTTTAGAGTACTATGAGCCAGGAATTATGGATGCAGACCAAATACATTGGATAAATATATTTTGGTCACATCCTTGAGAATAATGAGCCCTGCGTTCTTAGCTCTAGGATTGGTCCAGGACAGCCAGATGTCAGTGGTCTAGATGCTGGATGCCAGGGCGTCTGGAGGATGGGCATCCTGAGTCCTTAGGGAGTAGTTGGAGGATTATCCAAAGGTAAATAAATGTCCAGGCATTGATATAGGATGGGAAAATTCAAAATTTTAAGTTCCTAGGCTAGTTAAGACAAGAAAAAGAATTGTTTCCTTATGCCTCACCTTCATACTGTTAAAGTGACTCCATTTTGTATTTTCCCTATCTTCATTCTTTTTTTAAATCACTTAAAAAATTTTTCCCAAATTTTATTTATTGGATATTTTTCCACTGATTTTTTTTTAGAGAGAGTGGATGGGGCAGGGAGAGACAGAGCGAGAGAAGCATTGCATCAATTGGTTGCCCTTGAATGGAACTGAACCCAGGACCGATGCTCTACCCACTGAGCCAGACTGGCAAGGGCCCTATCTTCATTCTTTTCCTCAATATATACATACATCTTTTTTGCATAGTGGTATTCTATACACATTCTCCTTCACATTCTTCCTCTCTTATATCATAGTGGTTTGTTTTTTTTAATACGTAAGATTCTATAAACCTTGGATGTGTGGTGGTGGCATAACCAATTTCTAACTAACCTTAGTAACCCATAAAGAGGCATATGGTGTCAGTACAGAGTATGTTGGAAATTCTAAAATCTTTATTTTTGTCCCTGGTTGTCCATTAAGACCCTATTATGTACTAAATACTATAGTCTTCTATATTTTATATTTTTGTTTGTTTAATTCAACACATCACATAGTTGTCCTCAACTACAGAAACCGACTCAGCTACAATATCTAATTCTCTCCCCAATTTACTTATTGCTACCACTTACGCCTTCTATAATTATATTCCAATAGCAGTAAAACTAGAAAAAAATTACAGATAAAAAATTGTATATTTGGCATAATGCAGAACTAGTTACATGACAAAAGTCTAAATCTTCATATTTTGGAAACAAGATTTGCCATTTCACAGGAACTGCATTCTTCAAACATAGGTATATCCATACTTGGAAGCGTTTTGACAATTCAGGGCTGGAAATCCCACACGGCGCTTGTTGTCAGTCCATTGTTTTCCTGCCTAGTAGGTTCTGGAAGTGAATATTCTACCACTTTGTGCAGCTGATGCTGAATGCTGTGTCCTCTGAACTGGGGCCGGCCTGGGTCACCAATCAGTACTCGAGTTTTGTGAGTCCAAAAGCAATCCTTCAGCCATCGATGAAGACTATCTGCAAGGTCTTCATCATAAAACATATCTCCAAGCACAATAAGGTCCCATTTATCTTGTTCCAAATCCAAAATGTTTTTGGTTAAAATGGGAACAGGTTTCAGTTGGTTCAATTCACAATTTAGTGTGATAGCCATTCCTGCAACTTTAAAAAAGGACATGATGAATTGGTATATACTAGTACTAGACTGTTTGAATTCCCTATTGATTAATTTAGTTTATAATATCTCTTAACAATGTTTTCTCCCTTTAAAAAGATTCTTTTAAAACATATTTTTAGCCCTAGCCAGCTTGGCTCAATGGATAGAGCGTCAGCCTGCGGATTGAGGGTCCTGGGTTTGATTCCTGCCAAGGGCACATGCCTGGATTGCGGGCTTGATCCCCAGGGGCATGCAGGAGGCAGCCGATCAATGATTCTTTCTCGTCATTGATGTTTCTATCTCTCTCTCCTTCTCCCTTCCTCTCTGAAATCAATAAAGAAATGTATTAAAAAAACAAAAACATATTTTTATTGATTTTTTTTAGAAAGAAAGGAAGGGAAAAGGAGAGAGAGAAAAAGAAACATTGATGTAAGAGTGAATCATCGATTGGCTGCCTCCTGCATGCCCCCACCAGGGATTGAGCCTGAAACCAGGGCATGTGCCCTGACCAAGAATCAAACCAGCAACCTTTTGGTACACAGGATGACCCAACCAACTGAGCTACACTGACCAGGGCAAAGTTGTGTGTATGTGTGTATTAATTGATTTAGAGAGAGGAAAGGAGAGAGAGAGAGAGAGAGACATCTATCAGTTGCCTCCTGCATGCGCCCTGACCAGGGATTGAACCTGTGTAGGTGCCCTGACTGGGAATCAAACAGGCCACCCTTCAGTGTACAAGACGATACTCCAACCAACTGAGCCACACCGGCCAGGTTTCCTTTTTTTGTTGAAAGATGTTTTTAGGTAAGAAAGCCTAAAGTTAATGCCAATGTAAGCTATTTATTGTGATTTTCAAATATATGACTGGATATCCTGAATACAAAACAAACAAAAACACACCTGGAAATGCTGGAGTTTTAAGGAACATTTGTTGATCTCAATAACCACAAAGTCTGGTTATTGGGCGACAGGGAAACAAGCCTTGGGCTTGAGCAAGATGGCAAGTTAAAACTGAGCCCCCTGTATAAAATAAGGATCTTCAAGGACTAGAGCCTCAGTGAAAGGGAAGACTAGAAGAAAATCAGATAAAATTAAAACTTATCTGTATGGTAAAGACTATCATATTGAGGCATCATAGATATTTATCCTGGAAGGGAAAAAACAGGATGAGCTTCACAGATTTTTAAATATGAAATCCTTACTAGGGTCTATGTCATTGGCCAAGATCCTCGATGCCCCACTCATCTTAGCAGCGATAGCCGTAGCTCCGCATCCACTCCCGAGATCTAACACAGATTTTCCTCTGACAACATCAGGATTATCCAAAAGATACCTAAGTTAGAAAAAATGGGGAGAGCATGGGAGAAATTCAGTAGAGCTGTTCAAAAAGAAAGTAATTTCTTTGGGTTCAATGAACAAAGAAATAATATGACTTAGCAGAAGAATTTGGTCTGATCTTGGCAAGTTTGGCCTGACCAGAGTAAGACAAAATGTCAATCTTAAGAGCTGGACAAAGGTGGCAGAGAGAGGACCTAGTCATTTGATTATTCTTCAGCATGTGTGAAGAACAGTACCACACAGTTACTAATCGGGCACTTCAAGTCAACTGTTTAAAAGTTTTGAGCACTTACTGTGACCCAGAAATGATCAAGAACTAAGAATCCAGACTGACAAAATATGACTATAATCAGGACTCAGTACACTAGAGCCAAAATCCAACATCTCCTTTTGATTGTTCATCAGAGTGGTTTTACATTGCTTGAATTGTCTTATAATGACCATCGAAGTCCAGTTCAACCAAAGAATTTGGACCAGGGCTAAGTAGTTACCAAACAATTGAAGATGAGTGGGAAACACTGACATAATGAATTTCAACAGACACTTGATCTTAGTGTTAGAATAATGAAGAATAGCGGGGACTATAGCAAAGTAGAGGTGTGCATGCCAAGGGACAGCTGCTACCCATCTTCAGCTAATTGTTGCCACACAGAAATCCCATGTTATCAGAGATGATTCCTGTTTTTCAAATCAATGCATATTTTTACATGAAATCTCTCAGGTTTTAAATGTTAGCAACTGACTTTCAAAAAGAAGTGTGTTGAGAAGCAGAGCTGGTGTATTGAATTAAGAATATGCAGAGTATGGCCCGGTGAATGAAGAGACCCAAGCCGTCCACAGCAGAGCAGCGCGTGGCTAGCTCCCTCTGCATGGCAGCTTCCACTTTGGGGAGGTGAAAACAGGGGGTCATTTTGACTGAAGGTGGTTTCAATACACCCACAAAGGAAATAGAATCACAAGATTTATTGCTTCCAGATCCCAGAAGCAAGGAGGTACAATGAGCTGAGGGGAGGGCAGTCATCTGTTCCAGGTCACAGTGGAGATAGAGAGGGAGATGCACAGGTGAATTGGGCAGAGGTCACTAACTTTTCCAGGACTTAACTCTAAGTGGTTATTCTAAAAGGTTACCTGGGAACTTACAGCAGGTATCCTAAACTCAGATCCTTTAAAAATGCCCATATTCAGTGTCAACGGGGTTATCACACTGTAAAACGCCGAGGCAGCAACTCTCTTCTCATCACAATAAGTAAAAGCGAAACAGAATACATCTGTGGGTCACCAGTGTGTGTTCTGATTCACACAGCCTCTTAAGGATCTGACTGTATATTTGGAGATGATAAACAATAACTTTAATAGAAAACAGTCACTTACAATGCCAGTACTTTTTAAATATGATGTGAGGAGTAAAGCTTGGAAATTTGGCAACACAACAATCAGAAAATTGAAATTGTTTGATGCCACCTGGAAAGCTTTCCAGTCCTCAGTTTTCTCCCAAAAGCTCTATGTTTGCGTTTTGCTTTTCATTTGAAACTATGTATAGCATTAACTCTGTTTGGCCATACCATGCATGTGAAAGAGAAGTCCTTAGCCTTTTTGTTTTCCAGCCCTGTAACCTCAAGGCATAAACAGATGAAATCATTTACCAATCCAAGAGCAAAGACCAGATTGAAAGCTGCAAGTTCTAGTCTTTGTTTCAGCGGCTGTGTTTTAATAAAAAGTAGTGTGAATGTGAGAAAATTTCCTAACGAAGAGCTCTGCAGTGTGGAGAGGTGGAAGGAGGGGCCTTACAATGCAGATTCAAGTCGTGAGTTCACCTGAGATGTCAATAAACCACTAGCGAAGAGGGAGTCCTTGAGCAGCCCATTCACAGTCTCCTTTCCTTACAGTGGTTCTCAATCTTCTGGCCCTTTAAAGACAGTTCCTCATGTTGTGACCCAACCATAAAATTATTTTCTTTGCTACATCATAACTGTAATGTTGCTACTGTTGTGAATCCTAATGTAAATATCTGATATGCAGGATGGTCTTAGGCGACCCCTGTGAAAGGGTTGTTCGACCGCCAAAGGGGTCGCGACCCACAGGTTGAGAAACGCTGCTTAGGACACTGAGAAGAGGCAATGATGGAAGGGTGTGAGGCCTCAGGGGCAACACTGACAGGATTAGGTTGGGAGAGCTGAAGGACTGGGGCCTTAGGTTCTATCTGGGACCCCTGCACTGGCCATACATTATGAACCATGAACCTGAGAACAGTGTAAGGTCTGAATGTTTATAGCTACCTCTGGTCTTGATGGCTGACCCTCGGACTTCTCTTGAGAAAAGGACTGTATTTGGGGAAATACCTTGATAAGCTTGGAGTAGAAGGTAAAACTATGTAGCAAAGCAACCAAAAAAAAACCAAAACTGCTTAACCTCAAAATTCAGAAAAGAAGAATGTGGGTTTTTCTGTTTGTGTGTGTGTGTGGGTGGGGGGAGTAATGGGGAGGGGGGAAATGCAGAGTTGAAAGGGCTGAAAAGAGAAAGGACTGTTGCAAACTTAAAAGATTCCCATTTCAGTTAGGGCAATACCTAGACAGGGCTTGGCCTCCTGGCCAGTAGATCGCCCAGTAAGGATCGCTGTGGGGCCACAGGTCAGCTCTTTCCCACCAAAACTTGCATCTGGGGGTCAAAAGTCGCAACCGGATCTCAGGGGTGAGGCTGCCACTGCTGGTGACTTCAGTGTTCTCCTCCAAGAAGGCCTTCATCTCAGGGTCCAGAAAGCTCCCATTCCCTCTCCGGGGACAGTGGCCCCAGGGAAACAGAGAGAGACCGCTGCTTCTCACAGCCTTCTGAAAGACACCACAGTAGTTTCCTGGACACAGTGCCAGTGTCCTCCAACCTGGGCTCAAAGCCATCTGTCCTTTTCCAAGCCACAGGCTCTGTCACCGCCGCTAGTAAGAGCTGCTCCTCAAGGGCAAAGTATAAGGATCTGGCTGCCAACTTGATCCAAACTGGAATATCTAGATTTCTAAAAACAGAAATAATAATGAAAATTCCAAGGCTCACCAACACTTCCATATCATATCCTATCTAATAATAGACAAACATGGTAATTGACCGTACCTTCACTACGCCTCCCGTTGGCTAATCAGCGTGATATGCAAATTAACCCAACCAAGATGGCGGCCTGCAGCCACACAGCTGAAGCGAGCAGGAGGCTTGCTTGCTCCAATGATGGAGGAAGCCAAGGTTCCCCACCTGCTGCAGCCCAGCTCTGAGCTGCACTCTAAGCAACAATGTTACAATTATAGAAGCTAAACAAACAC